AAAACATGTGAAACCCCACAAACGGTTCGAAGCATGTGCTTAAAAATGTTTTTCTATGCATGTATACATACACATATTTTTGTCTGCATACACACACACAAGTCTGTGTAGGTAGGTGATTTATATATTTAAGGAATTAGCTCACCACCCAGAGTGCCCCAGGGCTTCCTTGAAGCCATAACACCCGGCTCCTAGCTGAGCCCTCTGCGACAGACAAGAGGAGATCAGGGTCCAGCCTCGTGCACAGCTAGATCATCCTCAAGGGGGGTTTTGTAAGCCTCATTTGAGGCTTTGGTGGGTTTGTGGTAGAAATCTTGCTTTTTAGGAGGGAGGCCCGGGTTTGCTTCCTGGCCAGTGCACCCCAGGCCCGGCCCCCTGCCCCCTCCCAGTGTCCCCACTGGACTGTGCACTGCTAGGATGCTGACCAGGCTCTTCCAGACTCAGAGGCACCAGGAAGAAAGGTCTGCTGACCTCTGGGTGTCACAGTGACCGGTCCAGCACAGGTCATGTGGCCAGCACGGACCGGCCGGGGGAGCACTGTTCCATTGTGCAAAGGTCGCCTTGGGTCAGGAGGGAGGCACTCAACAGTAGGGAACAGGCACCAGCCTCATGTGTCTTTATAGGAGCACATTTTTCTTATCTCTTGCTGTACCTGTGCACTCCCCCTTATCTGTCACACCAATCTCACCCAGAGCTATCTATCCTAGCACGAGTAGCACAATGCCCCAGCCTGCGGGCTTACCTCATCTGATTGTGCCGCAGATTTCACCTTCTTTCTGTGGAGCCTTGTCGTCTAAGAACCCAAGGCCTGCAGCGGCCCTGTGCAGAGCAAGTCTAGCGACCGGCGCCGCGTGTTCCCGCACCGTGTGTTCACGTTGTGTCTCTGTGTCTGTCACATTTTGCTCATCCCCACTCTATTTAAAGGACTTCATCATGCTGTTGCACACTGGCTAGACGACAGGACAGGGCCCACCGGGAGACCAGATGTTGCGTCCCGGCCTGCGGGACGCACGAGCAAGGCCCTGCGGGGAAAAGACGAACCTGGATGGAGAAAAGACACGGGGAC